TCGCATTTGATATAGTCCCTTATCATGTCATTGAGGCATCTCAAAGCGCTCTCAATCTCAAACTTTAAAATATTTTTTAAAAAATTGTTACCCCCAGAAAGCGATCCGCCAATCAACTAATGACCACGTTCCTACTTACTGCTACTAAATGTGCGTGGACTAAGGAAATTTGTCTAAGGTTTTGCCCCACCCGGGAATCAAACCTGTGATGTCTCGCTTTGTTTGTGGGACGCTGCTGCGCACAATTGGCTGCCGCGTTTCTCCCAGAAAATACACAGTCAATCCACTTTACAATATATTCTGTGAAGCGCTTTGAGACGTCTCAATGACATGATAAGTCGCTATGTCAAATGCAAGGATTATTTTGTAGGAATAGGCTCCCAAGGCGGACAGTGGAAGCAGAAATGTTTCAAGAACAAATTAGGTAGATTTCTGCTAGAAAATAACATCATGACATGTCAAGCGACTGCCAGGATGGTGGAAGGCGAACGAGGTAGACCTTGGTCTTCTTTCGCCAGCAAATTCTTATAGGAACAGGAATAGGCCATTCAGCCCCTCGAGCCTGTTCCACCAATTTATTAGATCTCTGTACCTCAACTCCAATTATGATGATATAAGTTTGTAATCACTCTCTTTCAGAGAATTTTCCCTTAATTCTCTTCAAAAATATTTCTGTTAATCTCTCAACAAGTAATAATGTTTGATCCTCTGGGTGATCCTAGTGGTCCAAGGCAGTGATACTGAAAATTTTGGGGGCTGATATGCCTCAACTCCAGTGAGGTGTTGTGGAGTGCATTATCAGCTCATTCTCCAGGCCAGTGTTGGGCTAAGTGTTATGTTGTAAGAGGTGCCGTCCTTCAGTTGAGATATTAAAACGAGGTTTTGTCTGCCTATTCAGGTGGACTGTAAAGAACATAATAAGAATAATCCTTGCATTTGATATAGCGTTGTCCAGGACGTCCCAAAGTGCTTCACAGGATGTCCTGTAAACTGGACTGACTGTATTTTGTGGGCAAATATATAACAGAATATATGACATATAACATGATTCAAAAAGAGAAGGGAGTTTCTCCCAATATCCTGCCCACAATCCAGTTAAATTGGTCATTAACCCCCTTGGTTGTTTGTAAGGCTGACACTTTAATGTGGAGTCCTGTAGCTCAGTGGTTAGAGCACTCGCTTTGCAAGCGAGAGACCTGAGTTCAATTCCAGGCAGAGGGTGAAACCTTGGGCAAGTTTCCTTACTCCACAAAGAGCCTAATAATAATCCCTCCAAAAACCCAAAACAATAATTAATTGGTCATTTTCAATCTACGACTGTTTGTGGGACATTGCTGTGCGCAATTGGCTGCCGCGTTCGCCCACAAATATACAGTCAATTCACTTTACAGTGTGTTCTGTGAAGCGCTTTGGGACGTCCTCCCGACGTGAAAAGTGCTATATCAAATACAAGGATTATTATTATTTAATAGTGTAAATACTATTTCTGAATTATAGCACTGGTAAACGTGTCTCGTATTGAGCTGGTGGAAGTGGGAACACAGCTGCCTGAATGAGATTTTTTTCTCACTCTATAGGTGCAAAGAAATCTTTTAAAAATCCTCTTTTAAACAAATAAATCAACCTTTGCTCTCTGCCAACTGCCAATTGATTCTGGCAACTGCTGCCAAGTGTTTGTGCGTGGATTTTAAATAGCTCCAGTTGCACTGCATCCTCTGCGGAAGACTCCTTGTTCTAACCTTTCACACCGTGAGACGTGGTGCTTCCCGCGAGTGAGCGAGAAAGCCAGCCAGTGAGTTAATCTGGATGGATGTCACACACCCACTAACACCCTGGAATCAGATTGCCTGACTATTCTCTGGGAAGGGAGTGGGACTTGATCCATTGTTATGTTGGGCAGGGAACAGGGTGAAACTATATGAGATGAGAGAGATATAAATATATATACAAATGAATTCCACAATAAATTAATACAGAAGAATGCAGCATTGTCATTTCCTTTCTTATTTGCATCTCTTCTGTTAGGCTCTTCCCCTTCAGTTTTCCCCTTCTCTCCCTAAATTGGTGAAGCTTCCTAACTTCTTTGCCACTGATACTACCAGCCCTCCACAGAGGAGAGTAACCAGATTTCATCTCAGGGCATAGATAACAAGTGACAATAAGCCTTTTGAGTATTGTGAGCGATTGAACCTGTTCCTGTCCGCACCCAATCTCTTCATATGCACATTTTCCAGCAATTAGTAGAAGGAGCCCTCATTGTTGAATTTTCCTATAATTATCCAGTGCCGCCCCAGTTGAAATTAGTAAACTCAGCACAGGTATTGTTGTTGTTGTTTCAACATTATAGGCAATACATCAAATGCAAGCATATTTCATTAGCCCAGGAAAGGTATCCTGTGAAGTGCTTTAAGACATCTCAACAATGTGATAAAGTGCTATATCAAATAAAGGGATGATTAGTATTATTCTAATCCCATTTCCATGCTCCAGACTCTACCCCGCGTGAAGGGCGCTATAAATGCAAATTACTTTTGCTGTTTCTCCTACGGTGTTTAAATACAGTCAATCCACTTTACAATATATTCTGTGAAGCGTTTTGAGACATCTCAATGACGCGATAAGGTGCTATATCAAATGCAAGGTTAATTATTATTATATATTTAATTCCAATGTTCTTCACCTGCCATTGCCAAAAAAAAGGAAATCCTTGCGCCACAAGTTTTTAATAAAATATAACCTTGTTGATTCTTTTGGGTTAAAAAACAAAATCCAGAAAAAAATCCATGTCTCCTTCTTTCCTGACTGCAGTGCCTCAGGTCACTCCACTGGGCAAATACAATATTTTGCAGTATTCATGGTACCTGAAGGTTCTCTTCTGAGCCGGGGGGAGGGTGGGGGGGGGGAACTACATCTACCACATTGTCTTCCGGTGATTCACATTCATGCAGACGGATGGCGGACTAGACGATCGGTACGTCAGCCTCATATGACATCATGGGTTCCTTGGGAGTCGGCTTTAAGAAACAACAGTGGAGGATAATAATAATAATTATAATAATAATGATAATTCTTGCATTTGATTTCACGTCTTTTTGAGCCGTCTCAAAGCGCTTCATATCTGCGCCACAACTGGCACCGCCTTCCATCACCTCCGGAACATCGCCAGACTACGGCATTACCTCACCCCTCACGCGGCTGAAACTCTGGTCCACGCCTCTATCCCCTCAAGGCTGGACTATGGGAACTCTCTCCTCGTCGGCCTTCCCGGCACCTCCCTCCACACTGCAGGTCATTCAGAACTCTGCAGCTCGTGTACTGTCCCGCACCAGGCTTCGGGACCACATCACTCCCACCCTCGCTCACCTCCACTGGCTCCCCATCCCCAGAGGATCGAATTCAAGATCCTCATCCTCACCTACAAGGCCATTCACGGCCTCGCTCCCTCCTACCTCTCCGACCTACTATCCCCCTACCTACCTGCCCGTACCCTCCGTTCCTCTGGCTCCGGTCTGCTCCACACCCCCCGCCCCAACCGCCCTACCATCGGTGGTCGGGCCTTCAGCCTCTCAGCCCTGAGGCTCTGGACCTCCATCCCCCAGTGCCTTCGCCGCCTCCTCCCTTTCCTCCTTCAAGGCCGGTCTCAAGACCTTTCTCTTTGACTGTGCCTTCAGCTCCCCTCTCGACTCTCTACCCCCTCCTCGCTCCCTCCCTTCCCTCCCCTCACCATTTCCCCCCCAATGCTCGGGTCCCGACCCAACTGTCCGGCGCCTTGGGACGTCCTCCCGACGTGAGAGGCGCTCTATACATGAAATCTTGTTGTTGTTGTTGTTCACAGAATATACTGTAAAGTGAATTGACTGTATATTTTGTGGGCGAAACGCAGCGGCCAATTGCGGGCAGCAGCCTCCCACGATTGGATCGAAGTGACCAATTTACTGTTATTATTATTGTTGTTATTATTATTATTATCACTATCATTAGTTTTGAAGGAATTATGGAGTTGAGAGAGAACTGATGCTTTTGGTCACGTTGCGGACACATCGACGGTGTTCGCTTGGCCGTCTACTCGACTGTACGGTTCCCTTTAGAAGAAAAAAAATTTTTTTAAAAAAAAAATGTAAGGGTTTCAAACAAAAAACAAAACAAAAAAAACAAAAAATTATTATTATCAAAAACAAAACAGGTGGGGGGAGGGGGAATAAGAAAAGGGGGAGAAAATAAACTACAGATCCCAGAATGCACCGGGGCGGTCAGCCAGTGCGAGGCTGGGAGGGAGGCGCATGCGCGCTTAGGGCGGGCGGGCGTGCTGGCGTGATGACGTGAGCACGCGCGACGTCACTGAGGCTGCCGCGACGTCACTGGTGGGGGGGGGGGGTTGAAGAGAAGGTTCAAGATAAGCGGCGAGTCAGAGAGAGAGAGAGAGTGAGTGTGTGAGTGGAGAAGGAGGAGAGAGAGAGAGAGATTGGGAGAAGGAGAGAAAGAAGGAGGGACAGCACTGTGCCAAGAAAACACAGAGAGAGAGAGAGAGAGAGAGAAAAAAGAAGAGAGAGAGAAAAAGAAGAAAGACGTTGATTGTATTTGTAGGTGTCGAAAGAGAAGAGGGGAAGGAGAGAGAGAGAGAGAGAGAAAAAAAAGGGGTAAATTCCCCTCAAAGGGAAAGACACACACACACACACAGAGAGAGAGAGATTAATCTCGACGAGAAGAAGAAGAAGAAGAAGACGACGACGACAAAGTGGCGTCGCCTGAGTGAGAGAGAGAGAGAGAGAGTGTGAGAGGAAGAGAGGGAGAGAGAGAGTGAGTGAGAGAGGAGGGGGGGAGAGAGAGAGAGTGATAGAGGAGGGGGGGAGAGAGAGAGAGAGAGAGAGTGTGAGAGAGGAAGAGAGAGAGAGAGAGAGCGACTTGTCCTCAAGACTGTTTTCTCCTTTTGTTGACATCGCTATTTACCACCTTCATCCCTCCCCCCCACCCCCCCACCCCCCCACACACACACACACACACAAAAACCCCTCCTCCTCCTCCTCCTCCTCCATATTGAGCAGCAGACACACCAACGGTCTGTTGTGGGGGGCAACGGAGAAGGGAGAGTGTGTGAGCATCCACAGGGCCTCGACACCCACCCACCCACCCACCCACCCAGAGAGAGGGAGAGAGACACAGACACCCAGAGAGAGAGAGGGAGAGAGAGGCAGACAGATACCCAGACAGACACAGACAGACAGACAAGCGGCTGAAAGCCTCTCCAGCCAACAAACAGCAGCTCTCAGTCACAGCCTCAACATGTCCTCTCCAAGTCCAGGGAAAAGGCGAATGGACACCGATGTGGTGAAACTGTATCCTTCAGACAAAAAAAGAAAACAACTCTCTTGTCTGTCTGTACGTGTGGGTGTGTGTCTGTCTCTGTGTGTGTCTCTATGTGTGTGTCCCACTAGATGTGTGTGTGTGTGTGTCTGTGTGTCTCTGTGTGTGTGTGTCCCTCTATATGTGTGTGTGTCTCCCTGTGTGTATGTTGGACTGTCTGTCTCTGTGTGTGTGTGTGTGTCTATGTGTCTGTCTCTGTGTGTGTGTCTGTGTCTGTCTCTCTGTGTGTCTCTGTCTCTGTGTGTGTCTGTCTCTGTGTGTGTCTGTGTCTGTCTCTGTGTGTATGTGTCTGTCTCTCTGTGTGTGTGTCTGAGAGAGATCTCGACATCAGCCAGGCCTCTCTTCTCTCTTTGTCTTTTTAATTTTACCTTTTCATTTATTTGGGGTGTGGGGTTGGTGGTGGGTGTGGGGGTCTTCAAAAGAAAGAAGAGGTTTTGCCTGGACGGTGAGTCTTTTTTTTAAAAAAAGAAAAGGGACATTTAATTATTATTGTTATTTTTGGGGGGGAGGAAACCCCCCCCACACACACATACTTAATAAGTAGATAAGCTTTTATTTTTGGTCTTTTAATAGACCAACAACCAGTGATAATCGACTGGATCGTTTTACCCTTTTTGAGATGTTTCAGTGTTATTTGGCTTGTTTTTTGTACATGATGTGGACGTTGCAAATGGTTTATTTTAATAACACATTTTGATAAATACCCTGTTTAAAGGGATTATACATACAGTCTATATGTTAATATATACGGGGGTGGGATTGAAAGAGTTGATGAGTTGACTGTATCCGGGATTATTTGTACAATTTAGTTGCTCTGTGGATATTGTCAGGCCTTTTTGTTGTTTGGTTGGGGGGAGAAAAATAAACACCTTTGGCATCTCCAAATCCTTTCTGGATTTGATTCGGATGGTTTCTTAGTCGTTCAGAGTTTTTGCTGCCCTGATTGTGTGTGTGTGTGTGTTTTTAAGGCCTCTATCTAGTTTTTTTTGGAGTGGGGGTGGTGGAGAAACCTTTGTATGTGTGTGTCTGTGTGTGTGTATGTTTTTTTTTGGTGGTGGTGGTTGGTGGTTGTATATAATTTGTTGTATGTTGTTTCAGACCCAACGTTTCCAACCAGAGACACAATCTCATCAAACCTTGTTAGGAAAATCTTTCTGAAATGTGAGGTGTAAGGAGGCAGGGTATTTATGGTTTTTTTTCTGGTCCTGTTCTATAACCTTTTCACTGGTGTTTTTTTACAGGCCTGTTGATGCCTCTCAGTTATGTCGGGGGGTGGGGGGGTGGGAGGAACAAGAACTGAAGGAATTTGAGGGTCGATGTCCATTCAAGTCTTTTAATTGGGTGACATTTTAATGGACTGCTTTCTGTTGTCAGGTCCCAATGACTTTGTTTGTGGCTGAAGGTTTTTGATTTGAACGGAAATTGATTCTCTGTGTGTGTGTGTGTGTGTGTGTGTCCTTTTCGATTTTAATTCGACATTTTTCTTTTGGGGGTGGAGATCACACTGGGGGAGGATTTTACTTTACACACAAGTGTCAGATTGTAAAGGGTGTTCGTTGTGTGTGTGTGTGTGTGTGTGTGTGTTGCATATTTTTTTGTATGGTGGGAGGGGGGGGGGGGATCAGATTGGGATATATATATATATATATAGAGAGAGAGAGAGAGAGAGTGGATTGCAAAATACTGCATGTATTTTTTTTCACCCCCCTCACCCATTCTTGACTTGTTTTTCTGCTACCTGCTGGAACTCGTTGGACAGCAACTGTTGGTCCTAAAGAAAACTGTAGGATTGCGATTGGCTGTGTTGTTACCAGCCGGAATTGGGCTGAGGTGGAGCTTACTGACACACATACACAGAAACCAGCTGACACCACAAAGGAAAGCCTACACACACACACACACACACACACAACACGTCTGGATCTCTAGTTGGGGGTGAGAGGGTACACACACACACACACACACACACACACACGTCTGGATCTCTAGTTGGGGGTGAGAGGGTACACACACACACACACACACAACACGTCTGGATCTCTAGTTGGGGGTGAGAGGGTACACACTCACACAACACGTCTGGATCTCTAGTTGGGGGTGAGAGGGTACACACACACACACACAACACGTCTGGATCTCTAGTTGAGGGTGAGAGGGTACACACACACACACACACGTCTGGATCTCTAGTTGGGGGTGAGAGGGTACACACACACACACACAACACGTCTGGATCTCTAGTTGAGGGTGAGAAGGTACATACACACACACACACACAACACGTCTGGATCTCTAGTTGAGGGTGAGAGGGTACATACACACACACACACGTCTGGATCTCTAGTTGAGGGTGAGAGGGTACACACACACACACAAAACGTCTGGATCTCTAGTTGGGGGTGAGAGGGTACACACACACACATACACACACACGTCTGGATCTCTAGTTGAGGGTGAGAGGGTACACACACACACACGTCTGGATCTCTTGTTGAGGGTGAGAGGGTACACACACACACACACACGTCTGGATCTCTCGTTGAGGGTGAGAGGGTACACATACACACACACACATACATACACACACACACATCTGGATCTCTCGTTGAGGGTGAGAGGGTACACATACACACACACACACACACACGTCTGGATCTCTAGTTGAGGGTGAGAGGGTACATACACATACACACACACACACACACACGTCTGGATCTCTTGTTGAGGGTGAGAGGGTACACACACACACATACACACACACACACGTCTGGATCTCTAGTTGAGGGTGAGAGGGTACACACACACACGTCTGGATCTCTAGTTGGGGGTGAGAGGGTACATACACACACACACACACACACGTTTAGATCTCTAGTTGAGGGTGAGAGGGTACACACACACACATCAGTGAATGAACTTCCCTGAATCGAGCTTCCCTTAATTGAGCTGGGCATCACTTTTTTTCTTAGAATAATTCTTCCCCCACCCCCATTCCCCCCCACAATAAAAATGTCGAAATGAATTTAAATTGAAATGAAATGATGGGATATGTTTTCAAGGGTAGCATCCCAATGGCGTGCACTGTATTCGGAAGGCAATTAATTCAGTCCTCTAGGATTGTAGCAGTCGGAGGCTTACTTTTCTGTGTTTCTCCCTACAAATTTAATTGATTTCAGAGGAATAGTATAATTGAAAGTTTACCTACGTTTCGTCTTCGCTCTCGAGTACTTTTTGAATAGGTGATTGCATTGTTTTAAACTTTGCCTTGCCACTTTTGAGTTTATTACCGACATATTTCTGTGTTTGGAAGAATGACAACTCTGCTGTTTTACTTTGCTCAGCTATGGTGGTGGAGTGCGTACAGAATTAGAGTTGTCTATACTCCAGTCTGGTTAAAAGGTTCAGTAATGTCTTATGAGCTATAACTATATTAATAATACTCCTTGCATGTGATATAGCGCCTTATCACATCTCAAAGCACAGGATATATTCTAAAGTGAATTGACTGTATATTTCGTGGGCGACAAGTGGCAGCCAATTGCGCGCAGATATTTTTCAGATATATGCTGGTCTCAGCATCACGCAGAGTTTCACAGTTTAGACTATTTGAATATGCTTTGAGCTGTGGCATACAAATTGGAACACCCCTGAGTTCAGTTTGTGCATTGTGCTGTGTTTAGTTTACCACGTTCAGGCAAGGAGGGGTTTGTGGGGGGGGTGGAGGTGGGGGAGGTGGAAAGAATTAGCTAGTGTTCTAAACCTGGTCTCTGTCCTCTGATTTCCCTCACTGCTGGAAAATATGGCGTGTGATGATTGAGGACGGGATCAGCCATTGGTGTGTCATCCTCACGGTTGAATAGTTTGCTGACAATCACAACTTCAGCTCGCACATGAAGATGATTACTTGAACAGATATTGGAGAGCTTCCAGCCCCTGTGGAAGTGTACCCCGACGTGACTCATCCTCGTGAAAAGGTGTGAAAATAACTATCTTTGCTTCTGTTTTGTATTATAAATATTAATCTTTTGGGTGTGTTCATCATATATTCGTGTCAAAGCACTCTGCCCGGTAGGGTTTGCATTCGTAGACATCAGCAGCAAAAAGGATTTAAGACATTGTAAAATCGCTTGAAATCCACAGTGTATTGCAAGTAATAAATGCCTTTGAGTGGTTACAAGACTGCAGCAGTATCTTGTGGGTTAGTTGGCAGCTTGCTTCGTTCCTATGGAATGTATGTTTGTCCCCGCTAGCTTCCTTACCTCCACACAGGCAATTTGCATGAATTGCTAGGTATGTTGTCTTGTATGCAGGCCAAATGGGAAGATTGAATCAAGTTGTGATTAATTAATTCAGTTAATCTTCTCCAGCGTTCAGAGAACACGTTATCCCTGAAGCAGTACACCTTTGAAACTGTGTCAGATTTTAACTGGATGTGATCAGATGGGGAGGAATTAGCAGTTGTTTTGCTTGCATGTTGCCGGAGCAAGTCAATTCTGTTCTCCTTTGACCTTCTGAGTGTTAGGCTGGCACTGGCCTCCTGCTTGGCCCTCGTCCCCTCCGTTCCACCATCGATGGCCATACTTTCAGCTACTAGGCCCTGAAGCTTTGGAACTCTCCCCCAATCTCTCCGCCTTAATAATAATAATAATAATCCTTGCATTTGATATAGCGCTTTTCACGTCAGGAGGACGTCCCAAAGCGCTTCACAGAACACACTGTAAAGTGAATTGACTGTATATTTGTGGGCAAACGCGGCAGCCAATTGCGCACAGCAATGTCCCACAAACAGTCGTAGATTGAAAATGATTCATTTATTATTGTTTTTGGTTTTGGAGGGATTATTATTAGGCTCTGTGTGGAGTAAGGAAACTTGCCCAAGGTTTCGCCCTCTGCCTGGAATTGAACTCAGGTCTCTCACTTGCAAAGCGAGTGCTCTAACCACTGAGCTACAGGACTCCACAAGAGCTACAGC